GCGATGTCGTAGGCTATCCGAATCCAATTTATTGATCAGGGAGGCGCGACGATATCGCCAAAGGCCTCAGAAATTCCCGTCACGAGTTACAAGTTCACCAAGAAAGGTTTCACGTATGTAGTAGCCAATGCTTTCTCGTCGCTAGTACTTACCATCGATGCGTCAGATTCGGACGCAGACCGCCATTTTTGAAACCCTTCAAGAGGATCGACAACTCCGTCAACAGGAAACCGATGAGACGTTACTTGTACTACGTAGCATTTTAATGCAGCAGGAGCATACCAATAACCTTCTTCAAATGCGACAAGCAGGAGAATCAGCAGCAGAAGATGTTATGAAGGCTGCCCAAATAGTATGCGATCTCGATATTCATGACCGTTATCGTAGCTTCACATGATCGGTAGGAGTTACACGTTCACCCCAAGGAATCCCCAAAGTACTTGGAATATCAAGGATATGTTCTCAACCTCTACAAGTCTACCGGAGTTATGCCAACTTTGCCCAATCTCAACCACGAGGTTGTGGTGAAAAAGGATAACGCTGTGACGGGAGGTAAATTATCTCTCTGTCAACTCATTGAATTCTCGTGCCAACGATTTGTCAGGTCGCAACAGTGAAGTATACTTGGGCTTATGGCTGGGGAAAGTCGATGTTGCTGTGAAGTCCCTTCGATCAATAGAAATATCAGAATCGTTTCCCAGCGCACAGAAAGTAGGCTTTGTCTATTCAGAATTCTCAACCCAATCCAATCATCTTATCAGAGATTTGAACGTGAGATCAATATCTGGCATACACTTGAACATCCCAACATCCTTCGATTCCTGGGGCTTATCGATAACTACGGCCCTCATCTGTGTGTGGTGAGAGGCCTCATATCTCTTTCATGACCAATCTTTAACGAATGTGTACAAACAGGTATCTCCATGGCAGTCGAAGGGAAACCTTCTTGCGTACGCTTCACAGCTCATTTTGACTCTTCACATTTCGTTTGATATATGATCTAGTTATACCACCCATTACCCAAAAGCCAACCGTCGGAGATTGGTAAGGACTCTTCTTGGTCTATAGACAATGCGTCACCTATACATCCTACGCAGCTAGCTGATGCCGCACGCGGCATCGAGTATCTACATAGCCGCGAGAAGCCGGTAGTACACGGTAACCGTAAGCTTTTTACTCATCTTTGAATTATCCAAGAATGACTTGTTCTGTCAATGGTTTTCAGTGAAATGTGTAGGCGGATGTTCACGATTCTGCCCTCAGTTCCACTGATTTCTTATCAGGCTAATATACTGGTTACCGACAACGTGTGGGGTATTTGTTAGCTTGTGATAATCGCTGATAGGACTGTTGACAGGGTGAAGCTGTGATTTCGGACTTTGGCTTGTCCCGTGTCATAGAGGACATCACAGAAAACTCTACTTACGCCACGCTCACCTCTTCTGGAAGTAATCGATGGTGTGCACCGGAGCTCATGCACGAAATTATCTCACCAAATTTGAGAACCGATGTTTATTCATTCTCCATGACCATTCTTGAATGCTTGACCTCCAAGAAACCGTTCTCCAACATCAAGAGAGATCCATGCGTCGTAATGTGTAAGCCCCTGATGTATTCGCCATATGCAGTACTGAACTGATGCAATGCTACAGTGGTTGTTGATGGTGGGCGTCCCCTCAGACCAGAAGGAGATGTTTGGGATGCGTGGTTCACGGACGATCTCTGGGACCTTTTAGAGTGGTGCTGGAATCATGAGCCTGCTCTCCGGCCGCCTATGACAACTATTGCGAGCAAATTGTTGGATTTAGGGAAAAGTGTACCTTCGTGAATATTAACGTCGTCCTCCGTCGTGTTTCAAGTTCTCGGCTTGTCGCTGTGTCACCCTGCTGTGTAGCATGTTATTGTGTTTTATGTAAAACGTTCAGAATTACGTTTTTATTTTACCTTAGTGCTCCTAATTCAAAAGTTCAGTATGCAACGGAACTTCATCCCAGAGTCTTACTTATCCACACGCCCTGGAGCATTATAACTTACTCTTCTATATAATACCTACCATGACTTGAAAAGGAATACATTATTTCACACCAATAACAAGCTCCAACGGGTGCCCCCTAGATCTATAAAGGAAAATGACTACCGAAATCAAGGCGGTTGATCATACGTACATGATCAACTAGAAGATTATTTACTCCTCGATTCAAGTCAGTTTCGAATTATCATACCCTCTATGGCGTGCTTGTCTGGATGGAAGCAAGCAACCAACCGAGATCCCTGTTTTGCGGGCCAACACAGCCTCTAATAAATCTCCAGACGACCTGTTGCTCGCCAAACACCCCGGTAGACTCCATGTCTCTGCGAATCTTCTCAATGTACTCTCCTGCTCCTGAGAGGTGCGTTACTTTGACACATGCTGCATGCAAAACAAGGTAGCGTGGGTGGGGAGCGGAAGATCGGGACTCATCGAGATGAAAGTAACAATGGACGGAAGAGGCTCGATAAGTTGCGGGGTTGTTGTGCACACATGATATAAATTGGGGACATTAATATTGTTAGTGTTAGGACCCGACCAGCAGAGTCAGTTGCGTTCTCCTAAGCAATACCAATTTTCACTCACCGTAGCCTCAAGCCAAGCTTGAAGCCTATGAGAATCAAACATCCCATGCACGTTCAACTGCAAGGTCAAAATATTTTCTAGGCGATGTACGGCAGCACCATCCAGTTCATCGGGAAGGACACCCCCCATACGCTCCATCACGGCCCACGCGTATGCAGCGTAATTATGCTATAGGGTATGTTAAGTGAGCTGTCGTTCTTGTAGACCAATCGAGGGACGCAGTGCGAGTTACAGCTTTTGACGGTCTTGGTTCTCCCGAAGTATCTGGGCTCGTGGATGGGGAGAAAATATGCGTGCATCGAGTTGAACTAATGCGTGGCAGTCGCAGTCGTTTAACAGTGACCATGTTGAACACATGATCGATAGTGTTATAGCTAGCATAGTCACAATCGCCAGATATCATACAGCGGTAACCATCACGAAAGAGGGCCTAAAAATTTTATTGGAAGGGGTAGAGATAAGAATAGAAGCGGTGCGCATACAGCAGTTTTCGCATCGGCATGATTCTTGGGCGGGGATTCGAGCAGGTACTTTATTGTCTCCTACATGTTATCGAAGGAAGACCTGGAAGGATGACTAGATATCGCATGAGTGCGACCTTTGTTTTGCCTGAGTACTGCTCTCTAATGTAAGCAGATGCAAAGGTGATGAGTGAAATGGATCATCACAACTATTAACAAACACAAAGGTAGCGATCAATGTAGAACTTGGCCAACAGATAAAGTTGGGCAGCAGCATTATTGCAAGAGTTTATCTCCTTTGTGATGTTCGTACGTCCCTCTTCAGTCGGCCGGAGAATGGATGACCATGTATCCAAGCAAATTAGTGACGATCGACCGAAATCCCAAGGTACCGGAGTATTTGCTGCATTTCGTCGCAAAGCCAGACATGCGTCGTAAGCTTGACGGGTCTCCGATCCAGCGGTAGGCAAAGGCTGTGGCTGAGGATGTTGCTTGACCAGCATGAAAGGCACGTGACTAGACCCAATACATTCAAGTCATCATTCAGGTTATCAAAATTCTAGACCTTTGTATTCATCCATGGCGTTCTTGAAACAAATAGGGTCCCAGAATGGTTTGTACAATACAAGTTCCTCACCAACAACTCTCTGATCACTCACAGAGTTGGACTCGCTCCTGGAGGATAAGAAAAACGGTCTTGTCGTTGTGTATTTCCATGCAACGTGGTGTGGTATGTGCATGCCTCATCGACATAGCAATTGATAAGTGATTGACCATGCTCGTAAGGTCCATGCCATGCCATTTCTCCCATTTACACCAGGCTCTCGGATACCTATCGACGCGTAACATTTAGCAAGGTTGATGTAGATGATGTCCAATCCGTGGCTCAGAAATATTCCATAGCAGCAATGCCAACGTTCTTATTTATAAAGAACAAAACCGTTGTTGATCAGGTCAGCAATAGTATCCCTCCCTCAGGGATTCTTCCTTGTTGAAAGAATTATCTCAAGCTGAAAGGCGCCGAACCTCGAGCTCTTGAGGATCTTGTGAAGAAACATGCGCCGCCACCACCCGCTGCCACTGGGTCCGGGTCTGAGCCCACTACAGGAGACGTACGTATTTTTAAGCATTGTGAGAGTTATCATTAAAGACATATGCAGATTTCTTTGCTCGAATTTTTAGATGTCTCACAGCTGAATTGCTTGAATGAGGCCACGCACCACTCTGTCAAGTCAATATTGGCATCCAAGACGCGCAATACATCTTCGTCCTACTTACTCAGTGATGCAGACGAGCAACTGCTTATAAACATCTCCGTCAGTTATGAGACCATTTCGCGAACGTTGTTTCGTGTTCCTTATGGATTTTCAACTTAGTTCAACCGGGCGGTCCGGGTTCGCTCTATCGTGCTGCACACTTCTGTGTCCTCCCAAGGCCCCAAAAAAATTAAATTGCTAATCAACAGGCCTTCACTAGGCTTCGAAGATGTTGAAGATCAGGAGGAGCCGGCTGTTGCCCAAGTATTGGATATTCCCGAGGAGGCTATTAAGGAAGGAAGGCACATCTCCCTTCGCTTCGTGAGATTTCAAAACGTGAATAGCCTGCACGTAAGTCTCCATACGAACTTGTAACCATAGGTCTATTCTGAAATCTGTCAGATATTTGTGGTGTCGAATCAAGGAGAGCAGGATGAATCACGAATAGATGCCATAGACGTGTTTGGTGTTCCTGTGGAGTAAGTGATGTTGTCACAACAATTGATTGTAAATTAATATCTATACTAGAACCACCAAATCGTTGAGTGGTTTGAAGAAACAGGATGATTGAATTGGGAACATGTAGCTACTGTGCATTTAATAAAAGGTGTTTGGACATATGCATATAGACGAGTGGCTATATATCAGAGTAAGGGAGTTTTTTGTTGGGGTAGGATGAACGAGTGGTTAAGTTGGCAGATTTAAGATCCTTTGGGAAATTCCTGCTGCCGGTTATGGCGCGTGGGTTCGAACCCCACTCCTACCACTTTTACAGTATTTTGTGCTCATGAACAGACTGAGAGACACATGTGACATTCAGTTATTATCTTAGACCACTCAACTCCGAGAAAGATAACGAATAGTGTACAAAATGTGACAGTAGTTCAGAACTTAAACTCTTTACTTGAGCCACTTTTCTTGTTGTCCATCATTTTCTGCTTCTTTTGACGACCCGCCATCTCTTTCGCTACCATGTCTGAGAAATCTTCTTGACCGTGTGCACCGGGCACTCCAGCAGAACCCTTGGAGGCTGTTTCATATTTTCGTCTAAGCTGATCCTCCGACATGTTCTCCAGCTCTGAGGCATCAATAGATAGATCGACACCGTTCGCTTTACGCTGTTAAAATTGTGAGGTCAGTCGAGTGAAACATGAAGAAGGGTGTATTGCACCTTCATGCCTCGCTCTTCTCCCAAAACAGGCACCGGAGCGCCACCAGCAACAGCACTGACGTCGTAGCCACGTTCACTCCCCATCAAGCCCCGCACTGAGGTTTGTTTTTCGGGCACGACATGATACAGAGAGCGCGGGCCCAACGGTTCAGCTGCTTCCGACGATAGTCTGCCGGCGTTCTTGCGCAGTTCCAAAAAGTCTGGTGTTTCGAGGCCTCCGGGGACAGTGGAAACAATACTTGCAAGTCCAGATGGCGTTTCCATACCCGATGGGGTTTGTAGTCCATCAGCAGGTGTCGGCTCCAGGGCCTCTTCATCCTCTGATTCATCCTCACTCTCCTCCTCCTCCTCTTCTGCAAAAGACATTATGAAAGGAAGTAGAATAGTTAAGGTGTAGACAAACCTTCCTCTGGTTGCAGTTCTCCCCAAAGATCCTTGTCAATAGGCTCTCCGATCTGTCAAAATATCGACGGAAGTCAGCTTAGGCATAGCATTAACATGGAATACTCACATTCTGATCATTGGCTTTAGGTAAGACACCAAAGACATCACCGTAGAGTGGTCGGTTGTACTCGTCAAGCGGAGGTTTTCCCCACCCACCAGGATGAAATCCCCATTGCGCACTTGCAAAATGATCAGATCCAAGAAAGCATACACATAATGGGAATACACACCCCTCAGGAATTGGGGCATTGAGACCCGGTATTCGTAGGGTAGGGTAGCTAGGAGGTGGTCCGAATCGTTGCATACTGATAAGCCATGGGGGCGGGGCCAGAGGTGGGATGGAAAGGGCCTCCACCAGTTCGGGGGACAAATCACCCGGTCGCTTCTCCTTCAGGGAGGTTTCAAACTCCTTTCCCTCGTAATACCTGGGACACGTTTGATGAGTGAGTGGTTCATATGATCAAAAAGAAACTATCACATTTCGCCAAAACCCGTCACGGGAGGTTTGGTCTGGAACTTGAAAAACGCGTCATGCAGTTTCTGATAATCAATGTCCATCTTGCCCATTTTTGGCTGAACTCGTTCTCTTGTCTTGGCCTTAAGCGACATGTTCGCCTCTTTCTCCTTTATTGCTTCTCTCATGGTTGCTACGCCTGTATCCGCTATATATGCCGGGAGTTGGAATGGTGGTTTCTCAATGCCCCTCTTCCCCTGAAGGTAATCTCTCTTGGCACTCCAATGCGCTGGTACTGGTATCGTGTTGCGGTAGCTTTTGAGTTGAAGAAGAAGGCGCGGATCAGATGCCGTGACGTCTGTCCACTCGACAACTTCTGGTTTCTTTACCAATTGCTTCAACTCTGCCACAGTAAGTCTAGCAAGTTTTCGTTGCTTCCGTTTAGACATCGGCTTGACTTCAGGCGCATCAGAGTCACCATCTGAGGGCATATCATCGTCCGAATAAATAATCTCTCCCTTTGAAGGCTCCAGGTCCTTCGTGCGCTGATAATGCGGTATTAGTAGATACGTTATGACTTTGTTCAAAGCTCACTACTGCTTCGTCGGCGGGCAACTGAAAGCGAGCAAATATGTCGGAGAATGCTGCGAGGCTGGCAGCGTTTAAGTCCAATTGCTGTGGTACGTACTCTGGAGTTTGATCATCTGAATCTTGCCCCTTCAACATTGATTGTGTGTGTTTGGTGGCCTTTTTGTGTTGGTAAGAGGTCAAGCAATCAGAAGCACGGACGGTGTATGCAAGCTTCCCCTTACTTCGGTGGTAGCTTGGGCCGTTTTCTTCTCCTTTGCCTTCAAGCGGCGTAGTTGATTCTTGGATTTTATCGTCTTGCCATTTAGCTTGGGCCTTGATTCCAAACCATTGGTAGTTGCTGCCACAACAGCTTGTGCGACCATTAGACAAAATGGAGGTTATGTAATGGTAGAGGAGCAGAACTCCGACGGCGGCACGCCAACTCTACTTTGCGACAACTTTGCCTATGCTATACAGCATGGAACAGAAGATTACTCCCGGAGAGGAGAGTAACCCCAATTAAGCTGCAATGACTCCAACATTAACACCATAATTATTAAAAACTAGTCCTGATATCAGGCTCTTTCCTTAGTTGTAGTATAATGGCTATATTAATTTGTCGGAAAAACCTTAAATGCCGTATCAGGCCGAACGACCTTGCCGAATAACGGCATCTCCGATATGGTTCCCGTCAGGCGCTAGCTGGCCTGATCAGCTCCGCCTGAGTCTGAATCAGCTGCAACACGGCCGCTCTCCACCTATCGATCAGCAGTGAACTACCACCTACGCATCGTCGATGTCCCCCAACTGGCCTAAAAGTGTTTTCCGTGTCAGAATAATCACCCCTGGCGACTTAGAATCAGCATGGTATCCAGCATGGGGAGTCATCCTCAATTGCCTTTTCCCTTTTGGTGATGACTACCTGATCTTGTGGGATTATGGCAGCAAGCCAAAGGCCCTTACCCTGTCAGAGGGTGGTAACTTACAAGCCATCAATTTCATGGTCACCTACATCATTGAGTGTTTCAATGTCCCTATTTTTTTCGTAGAGGTCAAAGTGCCAGCTGACCTCAAGTACCCTAGCAGTTGTGAGTTTGCAGACATCCAGATGTGAAGTCGCTTCAAGCTATTCAGTGAAGTTTTCGAAGAATTGAACAATCAGGAGCATGTTGAGGTCCCCTTTCTCTATGGTATCAGTGCCATGGGCACCCGAATGGCCGTCTACAAGTACAATGTAGAGGAAGGAACGATGGACCCTCCCCCTTGTATGACCAAGCTCAAAGGCCTTCGTTCTGATATGGCACCTTTAATAAACTGGTCTTACGACGTGCTTTCTGATGAGGGGGAACAGAAGTTGAGAGAGTTAGCGGCAGAAACCAAGAATGTCGTCAAAGAACGGCTCTCCATCCTGGACACAGATAACACCATCACATTCAAAGCTGAACAGACTCAGCAAATGGTCCAGAACATTTTGGATGGTGTCAAGCCTCTTACGCACGATCCGAACGTCACCTACTTGGCCCATAGTGTACGAACTTTCTCAATGAGTACAAGTGCGGAAACCGCAGAAGACCCAAACAACCTCAACTACTGACCCTCATCCAGAGTGCCCATTGGAAACAGTGATCGTTTGATGAAGAATAAGAGCAAATAGTTTAGGGTAAGTCAACCGTTTCCTCATTCAGCAGCACTTTTTTATTGATGTTCTCATAGGCCTGTTTCTAAGTGCAATAAGCTTGAATTGCTGTATGTGGTCTTAGGGGGCTCAAGTGTTTCTCCGATCTAGCTTGTAAATCACTCATGACGCTATTGTCACTGTTGCTGGATTAAATGCCATTGAAATGTTCTGCCCTCAATAAGTTCATTTTAGTTTATTTTAAATGTTATTTATCTCCAAAAACAAAAACATAATTTAAATTGTTAGACATTTACATGATCCAGTATTCTACTTTCCTTAAATTAAGGCTTGAAATCATCTGGAACAAACATCTCTCATCGGTATTGTGTTCGTGAACCGTTTGTGTATGCGGTCATGTGACCACGCACCCTAATTGAAAAATATGTCCTGATGTCTACAAAGCATTTTATAGCAGGTAAAATTGCTTAGAATTGACATAAGATACCTTTGTAACATGTATTGTAATCAGAATTTTTTTAATGTTCTAGGAACAACAGTTTGATCCCAAACAAGCCTGGAGACTCTCATCTCCAATGAATGCTCTGATATATGTTTTCTGGAGCATTTTTCATTAATCTGAGTTGTCAGTTACATTACTATACATATATAGCATGGTAATATATATAAAAATTGTAAGGAAATGATTTGACCACCCCCAAACATCCCAATAACCTAATCCCCCTAGAGGCGCTGATTGCTCCAAGCCTCTCCCCTGGAGATGAAGCGGAGCTTCAAGGCTTGCGCCGAGCCTAGGCCTCAATGTTGTGGTAAAGGATGCGTGCCACAGAGCCTGCTTCAACGGAAACAGAAGGAAACACTGATAGCACAGGACGGTTTCAATTACATAAGACCTGTTGGCGATACTGGCCAGGGGCATACAACAATGGTGGTCGAAAGGCAAAGAAAGATAATATTAGGTAATCTACATGTAATGCTTGTATGCTAAACTACCAAAATCCAACACACCTCCTCAAGTGTAACATGTAAATAGAATGTAATTAAAAACATTAGAAAGCAAAATCCACTTCAGAAACTGATCCAGCTACCTCTTGTACTGTACTTGCCTGTTCTGCAGAATCACCAGTTGAGTACATGTTACAGGAAGGGCATTGCTTCCTGGTATGGCCGAAACCTTGGCACTTGAAGCAACGAACGGTACCGTTGCATGTAGCCAATGCTGAGTCGCTAGGGGGTGTGGCATGCATACGCCAGGACTCATTGTTGAGTAGTTGCTGAACCACATATTCAACTGTGAGTTGGCGTGGAGGTAGACTGTCGAGGGAAATAATGAGTGGGGTATAGTCATTGTTGAGACTGGAAGTGAGAACAAGGATGATATGCTCTTGCAAAGGGGTGGCGCCGACTTCACCAAGCTTCCAGGCCGTGTGTTGTACACTGGCAACCCATTTGCGCATTGATTGGTCACCATCCTTGCGCATTGCAAAGAAA